GCAGGAATCAATAAACAGCTCATTTATCCCCCAGTACTCTATCTCCTGGCAGAATGAAAAGACACAAAGTTCCTCCATGACGTGAAGTTTGCCTGTATAGTAAAAATTCAGAACATATCGGAACAAGGAAGGATTCCTATCAAAATAATATTCCTTGTCTGCAACACTATAATCATCACAGAGTTCTAGAATAGCCTCTTCCGAATGGCATTTGAGAAGTTTCCCAAGCCTGGTATGAGGAAATCGGAGCAAGGTGCTTTGATCCACTGATTGCTTAAAGCCACCCACATTCAAATTGATAAGTTCTGCATCTTTTCCAGGTCTGCGGAAAAATTCACCATAAACCATTTTGAACAGAACAGTTCCACCGCTGGTGCCCAGTAAGATTACATTGAACCTACAAAGAACAGAAGATATTATTAGACCATTTAATTTAGTTTTGCTCATGCGACACGTTCTTTTTCCATCTCCAATTACTGCAAAATGCTGTAACAGAAGAGAAATGAAACAACAAATACATTATTCAGCATTTCACAGAAGTAGGTTTAAATTAGTTTAATGGTTAATTAAGTCAGCTTTGGCAAATTTGAAAGTAAAACGTTCTGGTTTAGCTCTCCTTAATTTTTTTTGTATAGAGGAAGAATGTCTAATTTATGAATAAGCTAGCCTCTGTACACTACTATCATATTGAAATTAATACTCGTTAGATAAGTTTACTGAAATGAACTCAGAAATCTTTGGTTAAAAGACAGAAAACTAGTCAATCCATCAAAACATTCAGGGCAAAACTTAAGAGTAGATATTTCTCAATTATAGCGTCAGTAGAGCTGTATTGACTTATATGAAGTGGCAATTTGTAATCTATTGCTTTCAACGTTATTTACATGAATGGACTGCAATTATTTCTGTCATGATATCAATCTATTTCCTTCTCGAGTCATCCACAGAAGAGTATTTTATATTCTTGAAAACGTATCAAGCATTCATTTGAAGCTTTCCAATTCCTGACTTCGGAGATTTGTTTAGCTCATATTTGGGTATCCCCACTCCCTCAAGATATTTTGCTACCTGCCTTCCTACTCACCTGGAGTGTCACAACCCTCTTAAGACCTTGGTCAGTTCCAGAAGCTCTTCCTATTCTCCCACTGCATGGCCACAGCCACTGTGGTAATGCTGATAAGTTGGTGTTGAAATGTCATTTCTGGAAACAGAAGCTTCCAGAGATGGAAATTCCACAAAAATTTTGCCTCAGTAAGTAACTGTGGATACCTGCGGAGAGAAGTAATGGACATTTTAACATTTCCATATTTTAATGTAAGTTAAATTATTCAGCTGAAACTCAATTCAACAGGCAGATATAGTTATTAGCAAATGATCTAACTTTTCCAGGAGAATTTAGCTCTTGCTTTCCTCCTAAGAAACCATTGTCTTCAAGCTAAAATTGGCAGGTCCTACACTTGTCATGAGATTCTATAACTTCTGATCATGAGGAGAGCAAAAATTTTTGATCTCTGATACTTAAACATTAATTGATGCATACTAAGCTAATTTATTTCAACTTAATATGGAAGTCAATGAATTTTAAATGAGACAAGAGAGCATTGTAATTCTCCAGTGCTAACAGATGGACTTACATCATGCAATGAAAGTGCTTTGGTGTTCATTAATGGCTTAGGGGAAGCTATTCAGGAAACAGCCAGTAATTTCTATACCACTCCACCTTTCAATTCCTCTTACAATAGTACCAATTAAGACTCAGAGAGTTAGGACCTCTAAGAGTTTGAACACTTTTTGCTGCTCCTCAGGGTCTCCTGACTCCATTAAAGAAGGTCATTGAGGTTGTACCTATTTCCCTATTCACAGTGTATGCACCTTGGTTGCAGCCCTGCAACCAAGATCCTGAGCCACGATCTTCTACTCACCTCACCTTTAACCTCTCCACGTGCAACTTTCTTTTTTAGGATTGTCACAAACATTACTAGAGATCTGTTCAGCACTGTTCTCTCTTTTCACTAGCTTCTTTGCACTATTTTCCCATAGTCCACCACAAAAGAAGGAATAGAGCCTGAAGCTTCAAACCTTTTGTATTCTACTACTTCTTATTTTCAGCACTCATTCCAACCAAAGCTACCGAGAACCTAATGAGCGCCCTCCTGTGTGTAAAGACTATTGACACCTATAGGAATTGAACACCAGGCCCAGAAGATGCTGAAACTACGTATTTGCTCTGGTGATTAATTCTGCAAAAACAGAACTGTATCTACAGCGAGCTTTATTTATACAGTGAAAGAAAAAGGTGATTTTTTTAAAATGGGAAAAAGCACTTCTTCTTTTGGCTACATTACAAACCCCTTCAAACAACCTATCTTAAATCCAAATTAGTCTGAAACACAAATTCTATTGTGTTCCAGTTCTGCTAAGATATAGGGGGAAAAAAACACCACTATGAGATATACCACTTTCTAATTAAGCAAGATAGAAAATATGTAGATTTAAAGAATGGTAAACAAGGCACATAAAAGTGATTTATCTACTGAATTTACACCTTAATATGTAGTCTGAAGTATTCACTAGCTAAAAGAGTGATTGTAAGATGCAGCTGCTCCAAGTGTTTCCCAATGCTCAGCTTTCAGGACTGATTGAGACATTAAAAAAAAAAAAAAAAAGCTCTGTTCTCTACTCACTGATGAAGGGTATTAGGTTATGTCATAGAAAGCTCATCTCCACAAGCACAAAGGAGCCGAGAGAGACAATGGCAGGGGCAGGTGGGAGAACCCAGATAACGCCCTGCCCCAACTAGTCCCAGGCCTGGCTCATCTCTGCAAGCACAGAAGAGCACAGAGGCATAGGCTCCGAGGGAGAACCCAAATTACCTCCTTGGAGGAACAGACAACCTGTCCATCCCCTCTAGGGCTGTCCCACTAATGGGCCTTTCTCCTGGTCAGCCAGGGAGAGGAATAGGATGAAGCCATTGGCACTGCTTGTGTTTGCAGAAATGCTGAGAGTGTCTATCTGTGTTGATCTGCATGGCTGGACATTTATTCAAACATATATCTGTGTGTGTGTCTGTGTATATCTCTAGATACACACATATATATGTTGTGTGCTTGTGTGTGTGCCTACTGGGACTATATTCTCAGCCCTGCTCCTGGCTGGACCTGGGGACATGGAGCTGCAGCAGCTTCTCCCCATGGGCAACCAGGTTCGGCCTCCTTACCTAACAAAGGGTAGCACAATTCAGCTGAAAGACAGCTCTGCACTTCACTCATGATCAACAGCCAAACTATGTTTTTACAGGATTATGGAATTCCCCCAAAATGTTTCAAGAACTGAAGTGACTCTGGATTAAGGTCAAGGTGTATCCAAAAACAAACCAACTCTGTTTGTTGATGGATTTCTAGTGGGTAAAACCTCCACTTCATTCTCCATTAAGATGAGAGAGCACTAGCAATCTAAGCTAATGTTATAAAAAGCAGTCAAGATCTAAGAATTTCTGGAGGTGGGAAGGGGGAATTCTGACCATAACAAAAACAAAATAAAATGACAGATATATTGGGTCAAATCTCAGCTACATCTACACCAGAATTAAGAAGAGACAAACTGAAAAAAAAAAAAAAAATCCTACAAGTTCTACTTAGAAATAGATAAAGGAAGAACTTAGTGCTCAGTAAATCCTTAGCACACTAGACTGACTCACTGTTGAGATAGCAATATAAACCCATATTGATTATGCAGATGTTATTCTTAATGGTGCCTCCATGTAATTACTCTGTGTAATAAATCCAGTAAGCAACAATTTACTGCTTTGAGGGCACCACAATTGTAATTTGTCCCCGACCAAGGGAGAAAATGGATCCTGCTTAGAAAGGCCATGATCTGGAACCTGCTGCAATTCTACTATTAAGTGATTTTTAGATTAGGCCAAGAAGGTATAGAAAAAATTCAAGAAAACTGGGCAATGGTGAGCTTCATGATCTGAAGAATTTCTTGTTTGACTTGCAGGGGCCTTGATGCCTGAGCCATCGACAAGGACATCATTGTGTCAAGCACCATCCAAACAATTTGTGGCATTTAAACAAGTGACTAGAGCCCCCGGATAAGGGCCGCAGATGACAAACTCTCTCAGCACAATGTACTCTCTGCTCAGGGGAGCCCTTTACCCACTCAGTGGACTCTCTTACTCAAGGACAAAACTGTGCTCAGCTGGAAACTAAGCTTTCCTGGAGTGCTGAGGTCTATGTTCATGAACACCCTAAGAACACAGAGCTACCACAAAACGTTGCAACTCTCAACTTGAAGTTCAGCATTAACCTCTTTGATCTCGCCTTATGTAAACAAGAAGTATTCATATATAACATAATAAACTGCTAACCATTCCAAAGCACGTACTTCTTGCCCTGGAGAGGGGATAAGAAAGTAAGCAAATACATACCAGATGTTAGTTACTTGGTTGCTTTAATTTCTTCAGTCGTTTTGATGAGCTACTGGATAAAAACTGATATGTAGTAGAAAACGAAACAAAACAACAAAAAAGGATGCTGAAATGCTGCAAATAAACCCAGCACATAAAAATTCCAAATGTTAAGCTCGAGGGCCAAATAAAAGCTAATCATCATAAGGAAAGCTGCGTGAAGAGGATATAAACATTAGAACAAAAAACAAAGCAACAATATCCAACTCTTCCCTCTCCAATTTGGAGATGGTCTCCAGCTAGGGCTTCTGCAGTCATACATTTTTCATGAGGTCATAGGCCCATTGTCTGGCGTGGAGAGGGCAGAGCACATCAGTGTGCTTTGAGCACGCTCTGAAATCCCTAAAGCTCACAAAAAGAGAGCCACAGAGGCAAAGTTTGTATATATGGTCCTTTGAGAGAGCTATACCACAAAAGTCAAACATAGCTCAGAGTGCTGTGCTTTTCAGCATCTTCTGGAACAAACGCCTAAAAGATCTTTAGTGAGGCTGTGGACCCCCATTACTGCAAATTTAAACTTACAGTCAGTAAAGTTTCACTTTCTTGGTTACCTTCTACAGATTCTTTATATAAAGTCCCCATACTCTGTGAGGTCCCACACCAAAAGTTTCAGCACATCTTTTTTCAGTGTTGCACATTTAACCAGGGTAGTACCTCAGCTCCTGCTAATTCCAAACTGGGATAGTTTCAGCTTTTCTTAGCATTAATCTGCCTGTGATTATCCAGGTACAATAGGAAAGGAAGTTGAACTGATTTACAGTTGGACAGACTACGCCGTGCTTTGCTGCTTGCAAAGTTCAAACACAGCAGGACCCTACAGATTTTCTACTAGTTTATCTTGTAGCTATACAGTCTGTAGCCTCACATCCCACTTGCTCCAGAGCAGCGCTTCATACATCTGTCAAGATTAAGAAAGCTTCACATTTAAGGGTGCTTTCCTTTAAGTCGAATGAACATAAAACAAAGAAGGACAAAGTCTTGGCCAAGTTGTGCTCACACTGAATTTAAGAGGGCTATAATACTGACTAAACAGTCTGTCTTCTTTGAAAAAAAATTATTCTTCAGCTCACATAGAAGGACAGGTAAATCTCTTTAATTCTAAAACTGTTTATAGAGTTTAGAATTCTAAAAACTGTTATAGAGTCCCAATTCCGAAAACTGAATTTTGAGCAAATTCTCTCTTAGGCACCCAAATATCACCAGGTGCTAGATTTTGCTACCTAATGATGCAGACAGCCACTGAGGCTCCTAACTTCTGTTAATTTCCTAACAGATAAGTTCTTAAGAGATGCTGAAAATCACTCCAGATACATAATATCCTAGCTTTAGACATCTAAGTACCTTTAGACATGGCCCTAACAAATTTCAGCTCAGGATCAAAGTTCTCACCAGTTTTGGAAGTGTTTGAATTTGGAACCACTCAACACAGGGCAAACGTACGTCCATAAAAGTACTGTGTGTATGCTTTAACATTCACTGAATGAGTAATTACTGAGTGAGCAATACATCTAAATGCAGATATAATTTACTTGATCAATCACAATTACAGATTTGGACTGAAATCCAGTTAGCATGACTTAAGATACTGCCTGTCAGCCAAACTGCCATAACCGCTTGTGCGCACATAATTAAGCCTGGAAAAAAACCACAAAGCAATATTCCTTGGTGCTAACTTCTTTCATTGTGATATAAGCTCTAACCATCAACTCTTCTTTGCAATATTAGATACAGTAAGTTCACCCTAAAATCCTTTTACAAGCAATCCGTGGAGATAGAGCTTAACTTAAAAAGAAAAAGT